ACACCTGGTGTAACAGTCTGAGCTTGTCGCTGGCAAAATGAAGCACTTTTTGTGGACGTAATTGGGACGGGCTTAATTCCCCTGAAGGAATATGTTGCAGCCACTGCTGCTGGCTGAAGCATCTACTGCACGGATTCCAAAACATTTTGTACCTAATAGGGACGTCAGGATACCACACATTTGGTAGTAGATAGGAATGGGTACAGAGTAGCGATACCTTTATGGTATCGACCGAAACAGACCGGTATCTAGGAGTATCGAAACGCCGCCAGTCCAACCAGTACTTCATTTAATGCTTTTTGTAACCATTTGTTTGGTTTTGCTTGCAGCCAAACACGTAAGCAACGAACACCGAAAGAAAGAAGTGCACAGCTCTTTTTCCCCTTATGTGCCTGCACCCGCTTGTAAGTCAATGCGATATGGTTTCATCTTCTGGTATCATTTAACACTAGTCTGTACATTTTTATTAGCTATTCACATCCTGTTGTCACTGATCGATCACTGCGTACCACCATACCAATTAAAACTTTTGTGGCGCAGCAGCGATCAGCTGATTTTACTCACGGAATCTCCGGCTGCGACTGATATCAGATGTAGTCCGTGTGATCAGTGGGACGTGCAGCCTCTCATTTCCTCTGTTTGCTTCTTTATACTCTTTAGTGTAGTTTAGCGACTAGCTTAGTAGCCTCATGTCTCGTTTTCTACTTCTTACCGTCGTCCTAAGAGGAGGTTTGCGACTCCCAACTGAAGTAAAAGTAAAAATTTTACTTTAATTTGTTTTCCGCAACTCATATGGTCACTAAACTGTTTTACTCCTCCTCTCTCATTCAAATAAACTCCCAGGCTGTCGTCCTTCCTCTGAAGATGAACTAATTAGGATGAGGAGCGATGTGATACAGTGTCACAATATTTTTATACAACAGATTTTTGAAAAAAGAAATACATCTCCTTGCTTGTCCATAACAACAACAACAACAACAAAAATAGCAAGGTATCAAATGAAGTACTCTATTGGTATCAGCATCACTTTAAAGGGTACTGGTTTTGGTACTGGTATCTTAAAATTTTAAATGATACCCAACCCTAGTAGTCAATATCAATACCAGTGAAAAAAAAATCACGGTAAAAAACACAAATATTTGAATATTAGAAAGAACAACTAACAGCTGTGAAAGAGGTGGTTTGACGTCAATGTATTCATAAATGAGCAAGCTGTTGAAATTACAACTAGCACAGAACTAGTACAACTAATGCGTATAATGAATTAAATACTTGTGTGTGAAAATGTTAAAGTGTGGTCACTGTCTATATTGGCAGTGGCTTGAAACTTTTCAGACGGTGCCCAACTCCACCCATGGTCTATGAAGCTTTGTAGAGACATTCAGTTCTTTGCACTGCATCATCATCTTTGGTGATTCTGAGGTGACCAAAACTGTCAAGGCTTTGACACGGAGCTATTGAAGGTAACAGCCGTGAAAAACCGACAAATGTTAAATACTAAACTAACTTCACCCCAGTTTCCAAACACGACTCTTAAGAGTTTTTCTTTTTGAAAAGTCAAGGTGGATTACCGTATTGCTCTTTTCACACTGTGTGTGTGTGTGTGTGTGTGTGTGTGTGTGTGTGTGTGTGTGTGTGTGTGTGTGTGTGTGTGTGTGTGTGTGTGTGTCCAAAAGGGTAGGTTGATTACTACCAGGGACAGCTGTGCCTGCTGACATTTAATAAGAGATCAGAGAGCTCTCCATGAGTGTGTCTGTGTGCACCAGTATGTAGGCTCCTGACTGGCACTAGAGCTCATTGAAAAAGTGGGAGTTCAACCTCCTGGATTTCCCTTCCAACTTAAGAAGAAATTATTCCCTAGTGTGGCAGAGCTGAAACATCTTCTTGAACTGAATGTCAGGGGAAAGCCACTGACAGGCCATTTAGTAAACGTGTAAATTAAAGAAAGCTGTAGATGTAATCTGGTTAAGTCAACTAGGATGATAGATATCAGGGTTTCATCAGTAGGGATAAGCCTGTGAGACGTCTTTGTGTTGTTGAAAGGTCAAGTCTTAAAATAAAATGCAGCCCTTCAGACAAACTGCCCGTATTTCTGCCCGTTTATGGTCCAAATATGTCTCCTAGTATTCAGACTAATTTCAGTTTGCCTTTGTTGTCCTTACAATAAAACACAGATAGCAGCCAATCTACTTTGGCAAACTGATAGGACACAGTTTGATTACATCTTTTGATGCAGAAGTGATCAATACTACACTTTCTGTTTGTGAGAAACTGATTCTAATTTCCAATTTTAACCCTGCGAGTGACCTCAAATGTTGTATGATGTCATACTGTCATCATCCGTGTATTTATGGAAATGTTGATGTCAGGTGCTTAATTGGTCAGAAACTTTCAGCGGCTTCTCTGGCCTGCTAAGTAGGGCTGGATGTCAAACCTCTTTGGTACGGCCTGAAATATGGCCATATCACCAAGTATGGAAAATGCAGTATACAGTACCTTACGCCGGCCCCAAAGGTGTGGTAAGGTTCTCTCTTCTTCTTCTTTGATCAGTAGCGGAACAATTAGCGATTCAGGCTTGAGCGATTAGTTGATCGAATTAAGCGGCGACAACTTTAATAATTTAATAACCGTTAAGTAATTTTAAAGACATTTTTCTGCATCTTCTATAAGAGTAAACTGAATATTTGATGGTCTGACAAAACAAGCTATGTGAATATGTCAACTTGAGATTTATCAAATCAATGAAAAATGACATTCTATAGGCAAAGAGACTAGCAAATTAATTGTCAGTGTAATTGATGTTAAACATAACCGGCAATCCTGCTGTGATCAGACAGTTATTTATATCAAAATGTTGCCAACACAAACAATAAGTCCTCAAAGTACTCAGAATAATGGAAAATTTGAACATCTACAGTTCAGTGGCAACTGAGCAAACAAGAGTGCATGAAGATTGTTTTATGGTCAAAAGCTCCAGAACCGACAATTAAGTGGACTTTGAGTGGAAAGTGTTTTGTCAACTACTTTTTCCCATTTTTAGAAATGGTTATTTAGGCAAAGTTCTTGGTGGCTTGTGTTTAGACAACATGTAGCATTGAGAGCCTTAGTGGAAAAATGTTTATATATCTCTCAACCTAAAGTATTTAAAAGTCTCACTTTGATAACTGCACCATAACTTGCCACTATTTCATGGACAGATTTCAAAAGTATTCAGCCCGACTACTCTGAACAACCAACAGTGACAACTCAATGCTGAATTTTTGATCTGGAAACTACTTTCACTTACAAACTCTAGTTCTGATCCAGGAGTATTGAGCCTTCCTCTCTGTTGGTATTCTCACACCAAAAAATGAGCCAGCCTGATTTAAACTAGCTGTAGTTTGAAAGGGAAAGTGGCTGAAAGAAGACGGATGGCTGGATATATTCCCAGCTCACATCTGGAAGCCTTTAGGGCTCGATACCGCCAATTTCCTCCGCTGAGGTTTCCTCACCACCGCATAAAAAAGCAACTAAATATGTAGCCAGAGACATAGCCACAGTATAGCGTTGCTTTTACTGTACAGCTGATGCACACAAAGAGCAAACAAGCACTAGTATACTGTAAAACCAGTCCCAGTCAATCCGAATTATTATGTTCAACTGACATGTTGATCCATATGTGCTCACTCATTAGCATAGGCTGTCAAACTGTGTACATTTCGATGTGTGTGATTTCAGCACACTGAATGTATTTGGGTGACAGACAATCGATCACGAATGTTTGTTCACCGCTGCCTCGGCTGTCCATTTGTTTACTGAAGACAAACAGGGACTCCGTGTGTTCACAAGAGAAAGATGGACAGTTCAGCTCACCTGAATGATGTCAAGAACCCGTATATAGCACTGCTAAAAATCCACTGTTACCAAACACACAACAATGGTGTAGGAGCCACAACATGGCTTTCTTAGACAGTACTTAAGTAGCTTTGGTGCCGCCTACATTCAAACAGATCAGAAAAAAACCCAACCCCAATTGTATCTAAACACCTGAGTTAGTAAAGTATCTCACACCCAGGTAATCAGGGAAAGCTGCTTATTTTCCCACTGATGTATGATGATGAAATGTATTATTAAAAGGTTAGGAGACAATCTGACAGAAGTTGCACTGATGTTTATGCAAGTCAGATTAACAAATGTTTCTTTATTTTGGAATCCTTACATGTATGTGGTCTGGGTAAACATTACCATTCAGCAGCAATATTCCCATATAGACACCATAACCCTGGGACGTGCCTTTCTTATGCCAAACCCAAATTCGAAAACTTGCCATTTTTTCTTAAGATGGAGGGCAAAATTGAGATTCATACTAGGAAACAACATGTCAGCTCTCTTCAGGGACCAAACAATTGGGCTGAAAGGTTCGGCATAAATAATTCACCAAACTGCACTTTGTTTTGAAATAAATGTTAACTTATGGGACTGATATGTACGGTACGCCTAAGTGGAGCCGTTTCATGATAGAGGTCTCTCTCAAAACTCTTTGCTAGGGTTTTAAGTGCTGCATGGCGGAGTGATGACACCAATAATGATGTAATACGAGTATTAAGTTACGACCATAGACTGACATTAATTAGGCAACAATACATTTCTAAAGCTAGTTAACTTAGTTTTAAGGTTGGTCCCCCATCTTACCTGACCTGCTGGGTGCAAACAGTCCTCTAACTATAGCCTAACTTTGTTACCATTCAGACGTCAACCCACACTTAAGCACTCAAAATTCAATTTATGAAAAATCTCAAGTGTCTCAAGGGTATAGATTCATAATGACTTGACTAACGTTAAAAGGTGTGTCTATTATTCGACAGTCAGGACTAGTCTTCACTCCCACATCGGAATATGCCAGCAAGTCATTAAGGCGGCCTTTTCTTTCCAAGTCGTCTCAAAACGAAGCCTGAATAACAAGTGAGGACTAAAATCGCACACAACTGGATAATATTACTGAAATACGGGTGCGAACTCACCCTCTAAAAGCCGGGAAATCAGCGAGTCGACGTCCAACTCCCCCTCCGCCATTTCTGTGAAGAACAACTCCGCCGGCCGCAGTCTGGAGCTGGGAGGGCACGCGCCGCCTCACTGCATAGAAACGCGCCGCCAACCTCCTCCCACTCAGGCCTCCCGGTTAGGACTCCTGTGCTGCATTAAAATGCTCCCGGATACTCTAGCTTCTGTCTCATAAAAGATAAAAGCGGAATATTTAATTAGCCATAAATGACTTAACACTGTTGTTCAAGTAATAGTTATACCCTTAATTGTTTTGTTTTGTTTTTTTTAAAGGCTTTCAATCGCATCTCATTGTCTTCCTCGGCAGACTGAATTTGCTCAGATTCGAGAGGAAGTTTCTTCAATCAAGAATTAACTTTCAAGCTAATATCCTAAATCATTTAGATTCGTTTGCTGGAATTTCAAATGAATCATAAATATATCTCCACCTTCTTAATTGCTTTTTGGTTGTTGTTTTCTCAACTCATTTAGTGATTTGCAACAGCACCTAAATGCACCAGTAAAGCCAGGAACTTTAACACGTTTATAAAAATATATATACTCACCGGCTGCTTTATTAGGTACACCTGTTCAATTGCTTGTTAGCACAAATAGATAATCAGCCAATCATATGGCAGCAACCCAGTGCATTTAGGCATGTAGACACTGTCAAGACAACTCGCTGAAGTTCAAACCGAGAGAATGGGTAAGAAAGGGGATATAAGTGACTTTGAACGAGGCATGGTTGTTGGTGTCAGGCGAGCTGGTCTGAGTATTTCAGAAACTACTGGGAGTTTTACGCACAACCATCACTAGGGTTCACAGAGAATGGTCTGAAAAAGAGAAAATATCCAGTGAGCGGCAGTTGTGTGGATGAAAATGAGTGTATGAATGGGCGGACTGGTTAGAGATGACAGAAATGCAACAGTAACTCAAATAACCACTTTGTTACAACCAAGGTATGCAGAATACCATCTCTGAATGCACAACACATCGAACCTTGAAGCAGATTGGCTCCAGCAGCAGAAGACCACACCTGGTGCCACTCCTGTCAGCTAAGAACAGGAACCTGAGGCTACAATTGGCACTCACCAAAATCAGACAATAGAAGACTGGAAAAATGTTGCCTGGTCTGAGTCTCCATTTCAGCTGCAACATTCAGATGGTAGGGTCAGAATCTGGTGTAAACAACATGAAAGCATGGATCCATCCTGACTTGCAACAACACTTCAGGCTGATGGTGTAATGGTGTGGGAGATATTTTCTTGGCACAATTTGGGCCTCTAAGTTCCAACTGAGCATTATTTCAACGCCACAGCCTACCTGAGTATTGTTGCTGACCCTGTCCATCCCTTTATGACCAAATCTATCTTCTGATGGCTACTTCCAGCAGGATAATGCGCCATGTCACAAATCATCTCAAACTGGTTTCCTCAACATGACAGTGAGTTCCCTGTACTCCAATGGCCTCCACAGTCATCAGATCTCAGGCCGATAGAGCACCTTTGGGATGTGCTGGAACGGGAGATTTGCATCATGGATGTGCAGCCAACAAATGTGCAGCAAGTGCGTGATGCTATCATGTCAATATGGACCAAAGTCTCTGAGGAATGTTTCCAACACCTTATTGAAAGTATGCCATGAAACATTAAGGCAATCCTGATGTCAAAAGGGGATCTAACCTGGTACTAGAAAGGTGTACCTAATAAAGTGGCCAGTGACTGTGTGTGTTAATATCCAAAATCACTCAGCAGACTCTATGAACTTGTTGGAGACAGGTCATTTACAGTGGCAGACAGAGTATTCACATCTTTAACTGTAACTATACCACAATCTATACATAATCTATTAGCGTAGAAGAAAAACACCATGTCCGTGAAATGTCTGAGGCATGTCCCAGCATGCACTCAGCCTACCTGCATTACTTGAGACAGTGGGAGAACCCATATGACCCCCATGAAAACAAGTGGACAACACTGACACTCAATACCAAAGTGTAGAGGACAATTCACACCATCCTATTTGCATTTTGTTGTGATTTTTTTCAACTTGTAATTGCGATTTCCGACAGGACCTGAAGGCATCGGTTTAGCCAGGAACTTTGCAACAGGTTTCCTGGCCTTTGTAACATAATAATCTAGGGCCACATAAAAAAAAGATATTTCATAAACTCAGCTGACAATCTTGATTTCCTTGATTGTTGGTCACTATGAAATATGTGCACATATTCTTGGGATTAATAAGATACTTTTATGTCCATAAAAGTTAACTTGAAATGAAGAAAAATGTGGATGAGATATCCAGTCGCTAAATATTACCAGGGGACAGATGCACTGTGTTGTTGAAGAGAGCAGATCCTGATTTGTTCACCTACAGCGCCCTCTTCTAGTCAGAATATGCTACAATCTGAAATTTCTGGGAGCTTTGATAAACTGTTTTTATGATTATTTTGAAATGTATAAAATAGCAGACTTACACGTCCTTTAGTTGAACAAATACTGATTACTTAAAAGAGGTAGGAGCCCTACATGTGTATTGTCACTACTTGCCAAGGAGTCAAGCCTCAGTGTGTGAATGTAAGATAGGTCATGAAAAGTCAACAGAACAGCCACAGCTGGTTCTTCTACTTTAACTGTTTACAAAAGAAACCCCTGAGAATAAACTTCTAGTGAAAACCAGAGGTGGATCCAGTCTCAAACTCTCTTCCAGCTTATGACTAAAGCCAGAAGTTATGTTATTGCCTCTCCCACTCAACTTATTTTTCCTGTTCCTTTCAAGTGCGTCATCTGGGTATTTCCGCACTGTTTTGAGTAGGTGGTGGCAAGTTGCGCTGCAGCCGAAAGACAGAGGGTGCAGCTGCGTCAGGCTAGAAGTGGACGACACCGGAAGCAAATAACTTTTCTCTTCAAAATAAAACCTTTTAGCATTTCACATTTACATTAAATAATTATTTATTTAAATACTTTATTATAACTGTTACAGGTGTAAGGGCAGAAAATTGTTTTCTTCCTCCTCCACTTATCATCTTTTATGCAAGTACTTGTGAGAGTGCTATTTTTCTCCTTTTATTATGTCTTATATATTGTTTTAAATCTTTAACCTGTTCCGTCTTTATTATTGTTCTTCTTATTCCAGTCTGTCCACGTGTGTGGGGTTTAGGTCAGGGATGTGGGGTTGTTGATTGTTTTCCTCACTAGCTGTTCTTCTCCTTCCTTGACTGGGACCAGTTAAGGATCTTTTGTTCCCCAAAACATAGATGCTCAGACTGTGTAAATGATCATGCAGCCCTTTACTCTGGGCCAGACGTTAGTGACTGTCTTAGGAGACAGAACCTCTGGTCTAGCTGATTCTGTTATAGTACTTCTCTGTTTATTCTCTTTTGTTAAAAAAAACCTTGACAACGGTTCGTTGTAACTCAATTATTTGCTCAACCTCTCACCAGGAATACAATTTCCACGACAATTTTGGCACCCCAGATGGGACGTACGCATGATCTGGACTCGAGTGAAGTGCAGAGGCCTACTTAGATAGTGGATTCCTCCCTGTGGGTGAGAAGCCAACTGAGCCCTGGTCATCGCTCTGGTCCTGAACTTACACGGTGAGAAATTAGTAAATGTCTTATATCTCGCGCCTGAGTGATTTACAGGACTCTCTATCTGCTTGTAAACTGACAAGTGGGTGGAGAGTGGGACTGGATCAGGGGCCTGCGGACAGATGTTTATTTGATCAACCTCTCACCAGGAATACAATTTCCACCACAGTTGGTAAAGTATTTGAAACTAGTTCAGTGCACTGGTTGAATTTACTGGCAGGATTATAGCTTGTGTTTGGTTTAGCTGTAATTTCTTTTGTAAAAACTGAACTTACAGCTCAGTCAAAATTTCAAATTCAGCCGTTCATTAATTGCATTTTTAAAAGCCTGCAGGCCTACATGTAGCCTATGCATACAGTGTAGGAATGGCAAATCGAAGCAATTAAAGAAAGAGATTTTTATGAAGACAATAAAATGAGTAACTAGCATAGACTTTGGTAAATAGTCACCTGGAAAACAGTGTATTACCCAAAAAGTTGCATCATAATGTTCCTCAAATAGGTATTGTACTTACTGTTCTTACCGGAAACGTGTGTTACCCTTGCGTCTAGCTTTACAGTTTGTGTGCACTCCTGTGAGCACAGATGTGGGTGGAGCGAAGGAGGCGACAGAACAGGCTCCGTGAAGAAGTTTTAGGAATCTAAACTGTCGTGTTTACAGCGTCTTTTAGCTGAAAAACAAACTACAGATAAACGGCGGCGTTGACGGGGAGGCGTGAATCGGACTCGGACACAGCCATGGCCGGTAAGCTTTGCTCGGTGTGTTCCCCCATGTTCAGAGCCTGGAGGTGAAACTGTACAGGGAGTTGTTTTTGCGCACAGGGGAAAGCCCCGCTGCCACTGGGCTCTGCGCTAACAGGAGGAGTCTGCTGTTCTCGGATAGTAAGCTAACGTACAGGAGGAAGTTTGACATAATTTAGGGCTTTTATTACCTATCCCTGCGATATCCGAGGTATATTTAATTTGATATGTATTTATTCCTCGGCGTGTAGCGGACTCGCCGGGCACGGAAGAACCAAACAGTGTCGAGCTGCCAAAAGGGAGGCCTGTTGAGTCCACCTCAGTATCAATAACACCAAACTTCGTCATTTTATTGGTCTTTCTTATGTGAATATCTGATTTCACGTCCTTAAAGCGTCTGTCATAGTGAATAATCTCCCATAAAGTCGGCTTAACGTTACATGTAAAACACCAAGTAACGTTAGCTTTCGTTTCAATTATAAATCGGTTATATTGTAATTTGTCCACGCTGCTCGCAACCGCCCACCTCAGTTTTAGTGGTCGGAAATTATGGAAATCACACACCGTATTTTCACAGAAGCTGTGGCGACAAACGATGTCAAATTTGCCCATGTGTCTTTTTGTTTTTTTATGTCACGTTTCCTCTAAGTCAAAGAACATTAAATAGCACGGTTTTATAACGGAGTTCTGATGGTTCATTAGGTTTCCCAACAAAATAGACTTGTCATTGTTGAAAGACCTACTTCATCCGTGTATGAAATACACATACACACACACACACACAGTGAAATGAAGATGAATC